GCTTCCCGGAGCCCAGCGAGGCGACGACGACGCCAAGTTGATGCGGAGTGAGAATGTTGATGGCGCGCTGCACCACAAGGAGGAAGAAACAAAATACAGCTCGCACTCGAAGCCTCTTGGAGTCTGATGGCCTATCCCCTGCTAATTAAAATGCCATTCGGTTTTTCTTTCTTTCTTTTTTTCAAAGAAGAAGGCCTAAGGGAAGTACATACCAGAGGAAGGGAAACAGGTTACCGAACCCCAGCATGTAATCTAGCCATGTGGTAGTTTGGGCGTCTCCAGCTTTTGCGTACTCGTCACCTTTAGCTTTCGCATCCATGATACCGTAACTCACGTTATTACTGCCACGTTCACCCGGGAGCAAACTTGACTCTTCATCTTGACTTGTGGAACGCTCGCCACGGGGCCGCACGGTTAATGCCCAGTAAATGCCGATAGAACAGAGCAGAAATAATGTTCGCAAAGCCGAAAGCGTCACCTGTGCGATGTCCAGTGCGCTATAGGAACAACCACCTTCCAGAGATTGTACCACTGTAAGGTTGTAGGCCAACCATGCTGTCTCATACACCGTGCTTATCAGCCACATGTGCCATTGTACATCAGATACCGTGTATGGGTGGTCTGGATCTGGCAAGAGCGCGGCGAGATAGAAGAGTCCAACAGCGATCGTGGAGGACTGGCATTTATTAGCAATGTTTGGCCTGTCAGCCAGACAGAGAATTTGTGCTTACAAGGTAGTCTTTCGTCATCCATCCCTCAGCAGCACTCGACTTGCGGATGAGGAACAATGTAACTACAGCGGTTGCAGTCTACCGGGTGTCGGTAATTAGCCACTGAACCAAGGTTCACCGCTGATACCTATCCGGAACTTACGATTGAACTGCAGAAGGCCACGTGGAAGGTGAGGAAAATTGTATTTGTCCTTGAACTCTTTCGCTGGGCTTGTAAAGGCGTCCCTCCGCGGGCTTGGATAGCCTGGTAGATGCGGGACGCCACGTAACCAAGGTACAAGGAGAGAGGATATGCCCAAAATAACATTTTTACCGTTATACCAGAGCTTATTAGAACAAGTGACTTATCAAAAGGTTTGCACATTCGGATTTCCCACGAGAACTTGCATAAAGGCTTCTTACATGTGCGTCCGAAGCCGAGGAAGTGCGTCGGGTGCCGAGCCGGAGGTGAGATTTTGACCTCCGTTTTGATTCATTGACCATCACTCATTCTACAATAACAAGAAAATTCATTTCATCTTGGATAAGTTATACGCCATGTCCAGCTTTTCAGATCCAGGCATCCACACACCCGCAAACCTTTGTGTGGACCTTACAACTCGATATTAAAAAATGGGATGCGGCCTACCTTGCGTGCATACTACCTGGAGCACCAGCAAAGCACTATGCTCTAATGTTCTACGGATGTTATGCCTAAAGTTTCTCTTATACCGCTACTTATATTAACATACAATTTAGAGATGCGGCATTACCCTAAGGAATAAGTTATCAGATACACGTACTTAGATAGATAGATACCTGATAGATAGATAAAGGTCAAGGTGCAACTGATGAATTAGATGAGTGTAATTATTGTGTGTTGCGTTTGTTTCTTTACGTCCACAAATTTTAACGCACAACTTCGAAACCCTTTATTCACCTGCATCCCGCACTTTCTCTTCCCACACATCCTCGTCCTAGACATCCTCGTCCTACACTTGAAAAATCTTTCTTGTCCTATGCTTTCTTGTCCTACACTTTGTCCTTCGACAGATCCTAAAGCAGAATTGACTGAAGCTGTATCACCTCCTAAGAGTGATATTGCGCACCGACGAAAGTAAATGATACCATCACAGTCCATGGCCACAACGTTCGTAGTGGTTAATACGTCGGTTGTTACGTCTTTGTCTTTAGAACTTGGTATCCTAGTTACCATCTCGACAAATGATACGCTCGGCTCTGATAAATGAGTTGGGTCGGTAGATGGTCGTTTAGGAATACGAAAAGTTCTAAGGTGAGAACGCGTCAAACGGTGTTCGTTTATCGCCGCAGAAACTTTGCAAGTGCTAACCAAGTACTTACAGGTCTTTCATTACCAAGAACGAGTTATTGAAGATCGACTAACAAAAACACCCCCTTCGCTACTAACAACACCGAAACTTAGTACAAACTGCCCCCATATCCTCGTCTCTGTACTAAGAGCACACCCTCGCCTGTTTGCTAAAAGCATATCCTCGTCTCCTTACTAAAATAGCATTTTATCTTCAACAAAACCCCAAACAGCATTTACAGCTTTGACCTTCCCTACAAGGGAAAGCATTGATTCAGAGGGGCAACAACCCAGAGCAGATGAAACTCCTCCGATTTGGGATTAGCCATCGATAGTCCTAGTACGAGCCGAGAAGCACCTGGCGATCGATGAGCGCAGAGTTGCCAGACCGGCTGCCAAGTCGGCGAAGGCCGCGGATCGTGCAGCGCGAAGACAGGCCAAGGCCTCACGCAGACAGGCGAAGCTGGCGGCATTGGGACATGCGTAGGGAGGCGGCGGAGGCGTACCTCCTATACCTAACATTCAGAAGTAAGTTTCTCATGCCTCCACCTCCCTACCTCCTTTCATTTTAGGTCGTGATTAGAAGATACAGATACTAACAGAGTATTCGTGATAGGAACACGCTATGCTTCGACCCGATGTCAGCTTCTTCACGATCTCGCAGCTCAGGCTTAGGCAAAAGAAGAGCTTTCTCAATTGAGTTACAGTAGTGAGCACCCCATATGGTCTTGTATTGGCAGTGTCGGCAAACTACGACAAGGAAACTAACTCTAAAGGAGTGGTGTTTACGCTTCTCCCTAACCTTCCCCCCAAGCAACCCTCGCATCCTGCGCGACTATGCGATCAGCCAAGCTGATGGCTGTGGCGGCTTTTGCCTGCCTCATCGGCGCGGCCTGGCTTCCCCAGCTCTGCAGCGGTGATGACAGCCCTGAATCGATCGCCCGGGAAACTGACATTATTCCGGTGGGCGTCCAGGCCGACTAAGCACCCAAGCATACGCCGGCTCCCGGGAGACCAGCCCAAGAGCGAGCATTGGAACACCCATCGGCGAGTGAGAAGTGGTTCTATTCTAGGCATAAGCTCCCAACTAAACGGTAAGATCCCAATACACGTCAATAAACATACCCGTACTTAAATTAACAAATATAGAAGTCCGACCTAGGAGGATCAGAGTAGGTTGTGATTGGTGACGGATAATCTACCTAGTACTCTGAGACTCCCACAGCTACAGAACGCACCCCTTCGACATGGTCTACACCAGAGGGCTCTAGCGACGAGATGCCTCATCGCGACTTGAAGGCTGCGTTACGCGGCTCTGACCGCTCCCGTCCCATCGCCCACCGTAAACAGCAGCGATTTGGTCTTGGTCAACCTTGAACAACCCGCGCACCTTTGGCTCGTTCTCGCGTCCCGAGTGCTCTGCCAGTCGGAGTCTACTTCCTGGACATTTGCAAAACCCCCCTTACCGAGCCGCATGGGCTCACCACGCTGCACCGTCAGCACGGTGAGCCCACTTGCGGCTGGCCTTCCGAGCTTTCGGCTGTAAGTACCATCAACAGTTCTCCAAATATGGGATATTAACTTATGCTGAAAGGATGGCCCTCGAAAGGCTACCCTCCTCACCTAACTTTATACAACCCCCATCCTACCGGGGCTCCTACCGACTTTACCAACAAGATGCCGCACACATGTCCATCCGCCAAGAGTCCCCCCCTCACCACACCCGCCATCCGGGTGTAACGCCTGTTGCCTACTGCGTCGTCCAGCCAGCCACGTCAAAACTCGCCCGACGAAGGTATTGAACTCAACCTTCTGCCCTCCAACAGCATACCTAGGTACTAGCTTTGCTTTGACGGGAGTCGAGGCTCCGTCTACTGAAAATGCCGGTTCGAAGTAACGCTGGAGTAGATTATCTCAACATACAGCTGCGTCGTCAACCGGCCGCTTTCCAGGCCTTCCGCCTACCGATTAAGAAACGAGAGAATGGTACTGTCGGACGGCGAGTTGGTTACTTTGAGGTGATCATACACATTAATTATCTTCTTCCATCTCCAAAGGACACCGGAGAATCGACACCATTTCCTACCGATCACTATTGAAGATGTCCGAGCAGATTGATGGCTTCCGTTGACACTCTGATCTATCGACACTGTTTCCTACCGGTCACTATCCGAGCAACACCATCGAAGATCTCAATGGCGAGTCTGATCCTCCACCGTACCTATCCCACGATACACACCCTTTACACAGAACAGTGGTCCTTTTCTGCCGTGGGCCATACTACTTAGATATGGTACCTGACCATACGCTCCTACCTCACTATTGACCATGAGCACCTCAGGGGTGCCAATACATAACATCCCCAAGTCATACCGTTCATGCCCCTGGGGTTCTATTGCTTATTTATCAAGAGCGAGAACTCGGGGCGAAGAGAACACCTCCCCTCTCTGCTCTTCACCTTCTATCACGCAATTCCGCTCTCTCTTATTACATATCCCATCGACGAAATCGCAATGTTGACTGTTTCAGCTGCTCGACACGACCGTGTCTGGCCAACAGATGCTCATGAATCGATGGATCTGAAATTAAAATATGATCATTTTTGACATTTCGGGATGAGCGCGTCTTGATGCAGGAGGGGGGTGGTGTGGGTTGTCAGGGTTGTTGAGAATAGGTGCGAATTATGTACCTAGGATTACAACAATTATAATCACAATATCGTATTATACATACCTACCTCATAAGTAAAGCTTGGGTTAACCGTCACTCGTAGTTTGTGTGTTCTTGCTAACTAGACCCCTTTGATGCAGGTTGGAATAGATGAAGAGTCATAATGAGAAGTGGCTTTCAACTTCTCGGGTCTGCTGAGCAGGATATTTTTGTGACATCTTAGTTCACGACATATAAGTATTGGATTAACGAACCGTTACCTTAACGTTGAGCATGTTGGCAGCCAATAGGACTGCTTGGCGAAACGGTATCGCGTCACTGTGCAGTTCCGCTCAGTTGAAGATGCAGGTTCGAATCCCGCAGCAGTCAAAATTTTTGGCCCTAGCCCCTTTTGTTTTTGTAGTATACTTCCAGGTCTGCTTCCTGAATAATCTATTAAAAGTTTGTATTATTCTTCTTAAGCCTTTTGATCCCGTCAATTTCCATCCAGCCCAGGCGTTTAATCAGACTCTCATTCTGTAATTGCAAACTCTGTGCCTCCCTTAGAAGTGCACCATGGGCCTTTCAGCTTCAGCATAGCCACCTAGTTGGAAGTGCCTATATTCCTCGTCCTTAATAATGGACTTCCGCCTGTCGTAGTCAGGTACTTTTATAAGCATGGCACACGCAGAGTAGGCTGCTTCAGTCGTTGCTTCGTTACCATGCTAGTAGCAACTCAGGTTAGCTGATGATCTTGCGGTTTCGGTTAAATTGGGGTTAAGACTGACAGCTAGGTAGGTAGGTGAATTGGAACTCCTTGTGCCCCCGATAATTCCCAGTGTACGCTTGGCATGTCTATCCCACACCACTCATCGAGTACATTATCCATGCAGCAGCCATCGCCCACTTCCGTCTCTAGAATCTCTATTCTAGAGGACCCCCCAAATGCGTCGACGCTCCCTTCCTCTCCATAGTCCCCGCGAATGTGGGCTACGGGCCTAAGGTATACCCTGCAGCCGAGATCTTGGAACACATTCCATACTGCCATATAAAGCCCCTTGGGTGTATCTCGGAGGAAAGAAGCGTCGCTAGTATAAGGATAGATGTGTGTAGCATAGAAGCGATGACAACTAACCACCTTTGTGAATTATTCACGGCCATACATCAGGTAGGGGGCGTTCTTGGCATTGATATAACTCACCGGGTGGCATAAAGGATTCTTTCAGAGATAGGTCCCGCATGTGATTATAGAGTGGCAGATTAGAATAGTCGATGACCTCGCACTGATCTAGGCCGCCCAAGCGGCCATTGCCACGCGTGGCATAGAGGTTGTACGTCAGTGTGATATGATGCCCAAACTGGACCTTGTGGACTTCGTGTGCACAATCGGAGTAAAACGTGGCCCATTGGACTCCAGGCTTAGAGCTCTGGGACTGAGCTCAGTCGTATTCCACAGTCTTGCGCTGGTGGCCGACCGTGCTACAGTAGAAGGTGTAAGTATTTGTACCTGAACAGTCTGGAGGAGGGTTACGGTTCCGTAGCTCCAATAGTGGCGTCTAAACCTCTGGTCTCCGCCGAAGTCTCCAATGGGCCTTGCTAATATGTGTTCATATGCGGTTGAATGGGACATGGGGTGATTAGGTTTATTGCTTACAGACTTCCTCCTTCGAATATGCGATGAGAAGGGAATAGCAAATAAAGAGAAGTAAATGCTATACCAAGGCCTATACCAAGGCAGATATATACCAATACTAGAATCGCATCCCGTCTGCCTAGTAGATTGGCTCTGAGTCACTGCATCAAAATTAACAACAGTCACTTGAACGGTCTCTACCTACGGTAGTTTGATCACATATCAGCTTTCGGAGTTTTAATGGAATGACTCAACCATCCAGTCCCAGGTTATCGATCAAACCATAGGTAGATAGCAGCTATTCACATCAAGCGTGAAATCAAGCTATAATAATGCCACTGGATGCCTGATTCTGACTTGGCGTAGGTTCCAGGGTTCTCCCCAGACTCCTTGATGGCTGCATAGTGACTAATTTGACGCTGTCCTCGCTTAACCGAGGACCTAGCAAAAGTAACGCCGATCGTGAAAAGCTCAGACGCAAGCTTGTTCACCGACATGACCATTGGCTCGCGGGCAAGCCTACCAGGTACCTGGGTAGTTGAGGATGATGTCTCGTATTTACAAGTATTAAACTAAAAAATAGTCATTCCTCCGTCGATGACGAGACCGTGCCCCGTGATGAAGCTGGACCATGTGCTACATAAGAAGATGGCAGAGTGAGCAACCTCTTTAGCGGTGGCCACACGCTGCATCGGTATGCCAATCAAGGCAGTCCCATCGTTGAGCGCAGGAATATCCTCCATCGTCTGTCGCAAGAGCGGCGTCTCGGTATAGGTAGGACACAGGCAGTTCACACGGATACCAAGGGGTGCATTGTCGATAGCTGCAGGATTCGTCAAAATACGAGACCAATGGGCTAATCAAACACTTGCTAGAAGGACACATACCCGCAGACTTGGTGATCCCGTGCACAGCAAATTTTGCTGTGCTGTACTGAATCATGTTGGGCGGCGTGATCAAGGAGGCCGCGGAGGCCATGTTGACGATGCTACCGCGAACGACGCCCCGCTCTGGGGAAGAGGTGTCGACCGGCTTTGGTTCCTGAGACGCCATTGCCGCCGACACCGCGCTATTAACGAGGAACGTGCCGTTGACATGGACTCGATTGAGGTCTTGGAATTCTAGAAAGTTGGCGCTTGCGACCGGCTCGCCCGATCGCGGTGGTATCTTGATTGACATTCGTAAGCAAGCAGTCACCCAAGCAGATTATCCGAAACCTACTCCTGCAGAGTTGACGCAGTAGTCGATGCGCCCAAAGGACTTGACCATGTGTTCGACGCCGTGCTTGACGGATTCTTCGACCGAGACGTCCATCTGGATTGCCTCTGCTCGAAAGGCCGAGTTCGTGGCGACAGTGTTCGCTTCCGCAACTGTCTGCTTGGCTGTCTCGAGATTCAAGTCCGCAACAAGGAGGCCGCGAACGCCCTGCTCGGCGAAGAGCAGACAACAGGCCTTGCCAATTCCGCTTCCTAGGTGATATCAGCTCCCGAAGAGAAAAAGTAAGTTACTCTGGGACATACCACCGCCGGTTACAAACGCATTGCCTGTGGGGTCTATCATTGTTCCTATACCATTCAGGGGTTGATTAACCTACCGTCTAGGTCGATTAAGTAATATCCAAATGGAAGTAGACAAGGCACGAGCGTTCCTTTATAGAGTCTCGCATCAAGAAAATCGACCGAATAAGTTAGGTCTACTTCTCGGGGGTGCTGAATATCCCTGTATAGTTTACGCCTCGTACCGCCTATGAGAAACGAGTTCGGCCCTAGATCGGACAACTGCAGTGCCATCGTCGGATATGAGCCAATATCTACATATTGGTTGCGCTCTTCCATTCCGAGCAGTGCATGACAATGGCTGGGCATACATATGAACGACAGCTAGCCCGAGTATCGGATCCTACGCAAGCCACAGTTAATAAAAGGCGGAGATGTTGAACACGAAAATTACAAAACTCTATCCATCCCGCCCCGTCACTCTTATGTATGAGCAAAGGGAAATCTGCTTCCATAATTCAATCACTGGGATTCTAACTCCCGCCTTCAAGGATCAACCCCTTTTCATGGTGCATTGTTGCATGAAGTTGAATGTTGACTGGGGCTGCTGGGGTAGAGAGCCTCACTGATAATAGAAGTTTAGCTGTAATGTCTCGGATGGAGACCTCCATGAACACCTTTCATCTGTTCAAAGCCAGCTGGAGTGAGGCTGTCGACACTCCGCAATGGCTTATAAGATCGGGTTCAATGCTATGTCGGATGCCTGAAGTCAGCTATACTGTAGGTTAGGTAGGGTTTCATCACTATGTAGAATTAGGAGGTACGTCCATAGATCTACCAATATTTATTTTGGGGGCTGGCTGAACTGCGAGGTCGACGTAACACACCAGTGTGAAAATACAGTGCCAGGATACAGTAAATACTAAAAGCATACACCGTGATTGGCGGGTTTTGGGGTTTGGCCGTCCGCCATCCGCCATCCGTATCTCCCCGTCACTATGAACAGGCCTCCCTAGTAACCTCAACACTTAACTATCCGCAACTCTTCCTTCTGATTAGCTGTTGCTTCCTCACCGTGCCACCAATCCATCACAAGACAAGAGCAGCGGCCTGGAGGCAAAAAGATGGTATTTTTCTTAGTGCCAAGAGCCTACATCTATGCCATCATGCTTGGCTCTTCCGAGAGTTTCGCTGAACTGCCCGATGTCAATTTCACTGTTCTCGAGTGTTGGGACGATACTAATGAGACTGAAAATCTCTCCAATTATTCGAGAGCACGATCAGATTTGGAATATGCTTTGCAGCCTCTATCATCACTGTCTCTACTGTCTCTACCCATTGCTAGTCCGGATTCGTAATGGTTTCGTTAACTCTATGAAGTCTCGACAGGACACTTTCTCATTGGCACCCCTGATCGAGCAGTACCAAAAAATAGAAAAGAAAAGAAACAAAAAAAAGACTGTGTACTTCGTATCTCAGCACGGGATTGGCCAATTCATTCGTCTCGACCACAAGGTGCTTACCACAGATTGGCCATTGAAAATCCAACAGTGGAGACTGACTATGGATATGGAGGCCCGCTTCAGACCGTAATCCCCGGCATTGAAACGTTCAAAGGAAATGCCATTCACCCGCAGTTTTGACCAGAGGACTACGACTACTGCGGCAGGAGGATAGCCGCGATCGGTAGCGGCGCGACTGCTGTCAGTTTGCTGCCAAGGTTGTCAGAGAAGGCATCGCAGGTACCTAAGTCGAGAACTGGATGCCCACCCCCTATGTTCGACGTGACTTACTCTCCCCGGGTGACTTATCGCACAGCATATGCGTTCACCCCTTTCATTGACCTAGAGATATCTGCGTTTTCCTCTACCTTTTCTCAAGTCCTGGGAATTGCAAATGGATTGTGACTTTCAACCTTAGATTTAGTCCGCGGGAGCAACGCTTATGCCTTACGCTAGATAAAAACTATTAAAATAAAACGCAAGTTATAAATGTTATAATTATTATATTAAAAAAATAAATTACTAAAAATATTTATAAAAAACATAAGTTATTATATAAAAAGTTATAAATATAAAACGTAACTTAGTTATTTAATTTATTAATTAATTATTTTAATATTTTTATTTAAATTATATTTATAATTAATTTTTTTATTTATAATTTATAAATAAAATTTAAATTAATATATATAAAAATTTATTTAAAATTTTTATTATTTTATAATAAATAAAAAAATTTTAAATATATTTTTATTAATT